AATTTATCTAATATATATAGCGTGTAAATTTTGTTAGGATATATAAATATTCCATATTAATAATCTGTGATTTTTGTTAATATATTGTAGATGCATTTAACTATTATTGACATATTTCTTTATAAATAATAGAAGAATCCTAAACTTATATCTATTGACATATTTTGCGTGAATAAATTGGAAGATGTAGGGTAATTTACCAAAACCAAATTGTTAAGTGTATTTTTGTTATTATAGATATGATTTTTCATAAGATATGTATAATAATGATAAGATTATTAGAGAGTTAATGTAACATAACTTTCTAGTAATAGTCCATTTTTAAAAAAAATCACACATGAAGTCAAGTTATGACTTCTGTTTTAATATATAAGATATTCTAAAGAAATATAGAACAAATTTATTCCTCATCAAAATTGATAAGGAATAATTTTTTTCTTCATTCCTATAGATTTATTCTTCATCATTCCTAATATTTATGATCGTCACCAGTCAACCCAACGTGTAAATGCGGACCATTGGAGTACGCCTACTTGTTATATATTAGATTGTATACATAGTTCGGTCCAGCAGGTTAGCTCGAATTCGATTATATAATAATTTTTGGAAGAAATGATAACACCATTCAATGACATGAGAGGTCTCAGAAACAAAAGAGATTGGTGACACGACTAGAAAATTTAACCAACAATTCAATACGACAACAAATTGAAATTCAAATCCTGGTGTCCTTAAGCTACAACTAGCTCGCTACGTGTTCAGTTTTCCCTAATGTTTACTAAACCATGACCAAACAATATATTACATCAGTGATCGGCTCCTCATAGTAAACGTCGGGATAGCTAGTCAAACCATCCTCTTCTCCGGCAAGGAGTCTCACGGTAATTGTTATTGGCCGGCGGAGCTGGAGGCAGAATGTTTGGCCTGGTCACTGTTGATGATCGTAGAGTTTGAACATATTCTCTTCACGTCGTATCTGCATATATCGAAATTGGTAACAGCGTTTACTCCTCTGAATTTTATTGCTGCTATATCGTACGCCTCCGCTGCTTCTTCTTGTGTGCCTTTCATTATATTTAAACATATTTGTTAGTTAATAAAAATATGTATTGTATAATATCTAGCTAATGTAATTTAATCACATATATAAAAGTGGTTCATACTAAATGTGCCAAGGTATAAGTCTTTGTTTCCAGCCACTCTTCCAATTCTAGCTTGCCATCTTCCATGTTGATGATGCCTGCATGCGTTATATATGTGATAATGTGATTATAATTTAATCACATATATGAAAGTGATTTAATCACATATATACACAATTTCTCAAGCTTATGTTCAGACCAAACCTTGTGACTCCTCTGTAAATCGAAGCCCCCCTTGAAAATCCACTGCTGTTCCTATATATGAGAAAGTCGACATACAATGTTGATCAAATAAATATTTATATATATCAAACATAAATATGTTAGATTCATATTTATTAAGGACTTCTAACTTAAAACTGATTGATGATTAGTGGATTGACCTAAATTTTTATATATTATCCGAGTGAGTCTAGTAGGACAGTGAGTCTAGTACGACAGTTGTATCGGTTAGAGGGTTCGGTAGAAAGTAGTAATATTAATTAGGATTTTGGATATTTAGGATATAGACTCTAATACCATGTTAGTTTTAGGTTTATTAAGGATTTTCAACTTAAAATTAATAGGTGACAAGTGAATTGGTTCTAATTTTTTATTTATTACTTAAGATTCCATTGAATTTCTGATGTGAAATATTTGATTCCTAATAAAATACAATGTAGACATTTAGAAGAGAGTGGTTTTGAAGTTAATTTACCTCCTCAACATGGCAACAAATTCTTGCCTAGTCATGTTGTTTAGTTCCTCCATCTCCTTTTCGTAATTACTCAACTGAATTGAAGTGGATAAAAGAAAGAAACATATAATACAGTTCACCAGCGACTTTATATCTTTCAACCAAGAAGTCACTAAGTTAGTAAAAACCAAACACACAATTAGGATCAAAATATTCGAAATAAGTAATTAACTTTCTATGTTTTGTGTAATAATAAGGAGTTAGAAGTGGAGGTATGGTCCATTCCAAATCAGAAACTTACAGGGAAATTTAAGTGAGTGGTAGGACCCCAATACTTCACGGCCGCTAAATCATAAGCCCTCGCAGCTTTCTCCTCATCATCATACCCTCCTGTAATAGTATTACTTAAAGGCATTATATATATCTTGTAGTAATGTTTACAAAATTTTTAATATGATCAAATAATAGGGCAATTCAATGTGGGATTCCATGCAGAATATGTTATTGAAATGAAGTTTTCACTTACCAAGATACACTGTGATTGATCAAGAAGCGAATTAGAAGGTACATATAGAAAAAAAATCAAAATCATTATTAGTAAACTTATTAAGTAATAAGATTAAACAATTAAATGGAAATTTAATCGTTTTAAATTTTTTTTTCTAACCTTGTCTCCCCCTTCGCGTCTGTCCTTCTTTCTTACAGCTACTGTCCCATAAGTGAGCTTCATATCTACCTGTCCATCTATGTCTGTATACGCATATATATCATGTAGAGACAATAAATATATTTACAAAAACAACACAGAAATATACTTAAGGTGTAGCATTCACATTGTTATATATTAACAAAATAAAATCAAAACTATCGTGTAAGAGTTTGAGGCATTAACAGTTTGATACGTACTTTGTAACTCCACGATACTGAGAAGTTCTTTGCCCGAGACTGTCTACCGACTTCTTAGGTGGAACCGGTTCCTTCACCTGAGATTTACCGACCAAACTCTTTCGCTTCTCGTCTACCTTAACCGGTTCTTTTACCGGTACATTTACATTCAACTCGTTGATCAGATCAGAAGCAGCGCCATGGCTCAGCGCCAACAATAACGTCGAGCCACTTGTGTTATAATAATCAGTCTCTTCGTGACTACTAGTATTGCTCGTACTACCCTCTTCACTAACATAAGTATTCGAGGCTGGAAATGTTGGAGTGTCTTGCATTAACCAAGATTTGAAAACCGAGACCGAACCTTCATAATCATGGTTAAAGTTGGGATTTAGGTTCGAGTGTTGTGGTGAAGCTACGGTTGGTTCGTGGAGAAGGTAACCAGGTGGGCTTAATCTATTAACCATTGTGGTGCAGTTCACATTGGTTTGGTCATAGCTGTTTATAGGACTACACTCGGTTTGATGAGAGTTGGAGAAGAAATCTTCCAGCTTTGGCACCTCTTCGTCATGATGATGATCATCATGATTAATGTTCATATCATATTGCCAGACTATATATATACACAAAGAATTAATAATATATATTTATATATTAATAGTTGCATATCAAACAACATACAATATATGTGTTGGTAGTCCTACATATGAACAAGTTAGATACACACGAATAATACATCATAAACACCACGAGCCAATACTTTCATTATCAATTAGTTGCATGTGATGTCACAAAATGCATGAAACTTAACAATATATACACGTACCAGGAGAAGGATGATGTGTGAGAGGATCAGTGAAGAAGAGAGAACCATCCGAATTTAGAGGCAAGAGAGCCTTTTCTTGATTACTCACAACATAGTTTTCTTCGTCTTCTTCTTCTTGAACTTTATCGGAGATTCTCAAATGAGGTGTCAAAGAAAACCCCAACCATTTGTTCATCTCTTCTCCCTTTCTCTCTCTACTCTTTGTTTCTCTCTCTCCCATTGTTCCACAATATATGTAGGGTTTCGTGTGTTTATTCAATTCGTGGTCTCATATGCGAAGGAAGCATTACAAGACAAATATTAGAGTTACGTGGATTAAATAAGACCTTTGTTTGTTATAATGTGAAAATATTATTGAAAGAAAAAAAAAAGATAGAAACGAAGAAAAAGGAAAATTAATGTGAAAAGATGGTTTAAGACAAAACAGGTGGCGGTGAAGTTCTGTCGTAGCATGAAAGATAGGCAACAGGGAAGTTTCTTTACACATTCTTTTTCGGGCACTTGCATCTGACTTTCTAGGGTTTTGTGCCCCTTTCCCTCAGATCTTTTAATGTTACTCTTTAATGCGATTTGGAATCTTGAGTTTCTTGGTATTTTATTTTTGGGGCATAGAATAAGCACACACAACGACGACGAAAGAAGAAATCACTGTGCCAGGAGTAAGCTGCGGCCTTTGAAATGATGTAGGTTGGTTCAGTGCCATGTTCAAACATTTGTGATCGGGACTTTGTATGAGATATAACGTCTAAGAACATGATTAATGAAAGGTTATTAAATAAAATATTTGATAGTCAATTTTTAACTTTTTTAATTAAAAGTACACAAAAAACGATTTTTATACTAGGCTTAAAATTTCATTCTAAGAATCTTCATTAATCAGGTTCTAATCATGTTTGTAGTTTCTATTTACAAAATTAGAGCACCCACGGTGATAAAGAGCTTCAAAATGGGTTTTTTTTTTTTTTTTACAAATTTACAGTTTTTAGAGTTACAGTTCTTTTACAAATTTAGAATTTTTAATAATTTAAAATTTTAAAATAATAAACTTTTAATATCTATAAATTCCAGTTTTTATATATTTAGTACAAAAAAAAGAATTCATATTTTAATATAATTTGCTTAAATTTTATTTTATTTTTTCTAGAAAACTAACGAATACAGAAGAGACATGTGGCTAAATATATTAAAAGCAAAAAAACGTTTATGTGATCTGTATAGTTTATTATGTATTGATGAGAGTAGTGAAACCGTTAAATTCAAGGCTCATTTCATCCAAGCAAGAAATTTCACATGATTTTCTTTTCCAAAGCATAAAGCGTGCCACTAAAAAGGAGTTTACACCGCAGTTTGGCTACATGGATCCCGTTTTCCAGATTATTCAGCATATATACACATATCTTCATTACCAGCCTCGGTAATAATGTTACAGATTAGAAAATGTTTTAGGTTAAATGGTCTTTTTTTTTTAACACCAGTTAAGTCGTCAAATGTCTATCTTTGAGGTTCTCTCCTTGGATTGGCTATGACCAAAAAAAAAAAAAGTTAAATAATAATAAAACTCATCTTTGGGTAATTAATTTTGAAGCCCATGGACCGCTTCTTCAAACAGGCTCGCCGTTGATTTTCAGTTTTCATTGTTTAAAATTATATAGCTTTGGCTGCTCGAGTGAAGGATGCTATGAAGCAGCAGTGTGTGTGTTCCTCAGATTGCTAGAGCGTGGTATGATATTGTCTCTGCGTATAGGAACTCTGATCCTGAGCTTTCCGCTGTCACACACTGTTGATGATTTTGTTTTGGTTACATTGTCACACACTGTTGATGATTTTGTTTTGGTTTCAGTTACTTATTATAGAAGTATTATTAAAGGATGATTCTATTGATCTCATGAGTTGAGTATTTATACAACATTGTAAGCTAGAGATAAGACCGAATCTATACAAGATAATGACTTCATATGGTTTGTCATTATCTTATAATATTACATCATATAGATAAGTATTATCTATACTAATAGCAGCAACTCGAGAGCAGATTTTGATGTTTTTATTCCCTTTTTGTTGTGGGATTGTGTCTACAACGCCTCTCTCTTTTTTGTCCTATCACCAAAGTTCGATAGTGTCAACTCTTGCGTTCTCAATGTTTCATTACTAGTCTATGAAATGCTTGGAAAAAGAACTGAGAATTAGCTGTTTTTTATTTATTTTAGTCAAGAAATTTAATATGAAAATTTTCCAATCTTTAACCATATCATTTAGCTATAATCTATTATTATTAATATAAATCATATTCACACTGGGAGAAACTCCCGAGTTGATGTTTGAGTGTTTATAATAATTCATCTACCTGTGCATTTTATCTGATCTTACATGTTGAAACTTTTAGCTAGAATGGGACTCAAACTTACTTACAATCTGTTATTTTCTGTGAGCCATTGATACAACAATCTTGATTTTCAGGCGTTACCACCAACGTGCATTAGTTTTGTACATTTGAAGCAAGTAAGTCGACAATCTTGTGGACTCCTCAACTAATATCTCTGAGACTCTGATAGAAAATGGTGCCATGTGCCTTCTCAGTTAATATTCTTTAAGGTCTCTTAATTATATTTTTTCCTTGTTAAATTTAATGTTAATATTTCTTTGAGTAACACATAATGAATGATGGTTGCGTGTTATACACTCTAGTACCAGTCTCTTGTTGCCAGACAAAAAAACTTTAGGGCTAATGAACTAATTGAATTTACAAGGTAACTCATGAATGAATTTCTACTTCTTTCTAATTTTTAAAACAATTCATTGTAATTTAATATCCTGAATCCTGAATATTTAACTCGACAAAACCTAAACAAAGAAAAACAAATAGTCGTTTATTAATTTTTGAAATTAAGTCTACTTTTGGAGTTACTTCTCTTTTTTTTGAACAACCTTTGTAGTTACTTTTCTAGGTATCCTTTTTGATAAACTCTAGATGCTTTGACTTTAGTGTACAATTGAAAAGGTCTATGAAGCTTACAAGATTATTCCGACACTTATACAGTTGTATGTGTGTATGCACGAACGAAGTGTGTTGAAGTTTTAAAAGTATTTTCCTGGCCGCGTTAATTTAAAACACAGAGGACCTTTACGAGTTTAGTTTCTTTAAACAAGAACGTACATACACGTGACGTGATTATCTCTGCTCCAATAAAATATCAATGTAAATGGACCAAGGTCAAAAGCAACGCTGCCACACTCCACGGCTGCCACAAAATAATACTTATTTTATTATATGTATCTATTTTCAAATTTACTTCAGAAATAGGGATTCTTATATGTAAACACCTGAAATCATGATTACATTTCTCTCTTTGTTCATTTCTTTAAGCTTGTATATCCATACTTTTTCTTCATGTGGAAAGAAAAGACAATTATTTTCATCCAATTCCTCTTTTTTCTACTTTCTGTTATGACTTGCCATTTAGATGCATTAAATCTCATTCACATTATTTATTCGTTATGAAATCCTTATATATTCAATAGTTAAATCTAGTGCAACTTGAATTTCCAGGTCTTATTAGTTAAACCAACTAAGTTGGCTCAGTTTGATTTACAATTATATTTTGAAATCATACATACCATCTACATTAAACAAAAATATATGTTTGACTATCAATATATATATATATATATATATATATATATATATATATAAGATATAAAAAATAGTTTTACGTTTGCCACTTATCTAAAAGCAATTGATAAATATCTTATGAGTACATGTAATGATAATATGATTCCAGCAAAAACTGTAATGATAATATGATACAAAGATTTGTGGAATTTGAAAAATATCTACGTCACATGGTAAATGTGCCACTATACTTGTTCGAGTCTTGGATCAAAAAGATGTACTATCATTTTCAATAAACAATAGATTAACGATTGCCAAACTATAGCTTTTTCTTTTTCGATGTATATATAGTCTTTTTCCATTAAAAACATAATAAAAGCTACCTAACTTTTACACACACACACATATATATATATATACTTCGAGTTTTAGGTATAAGAAATTTTCAAGTATTTTAAAAATCAGATAAAAGCTCTTAGTAGATATTATTTTATAATCTAGAAGAAAAACGAGAGTTTATTTGAAAATCGAAATTATGTAGATGACATTTTTCAAAAAAATGGCAATGAAGTTGTTTCCCTGTCACTCTCGGAATGTTTTAAAATGTTGAAAATAATGTAGTGATAATGAGCAAATTGACCTTAACGAAAAGCTAATCTCCGTTGGCTTCGTATAAACTAGTATCTAATGGAAAAGAATATGTTGCATTTTTTCATACGGCCATCACGTAGTAGTATAACATATTTAAAATATATTCAAAAGATAAATTACGAAATAACTATATATGAAATTGGGATATCCCAAAGTTAAAAAAGAAAACTACTAAATAAATTCGAACAGAATTTTCCTGCACATGCAACCATATTTTATGTAGAGTTATAACGCGACACCAGCAGATATTACTTGAATTATTTGATCACCAAAAGAGTAACATGATTTGATGATATCTATACTATTATTTGCGAAGTGATTTTTCGCAACGGAGCTCTCACGTTAAAAGTTGGAGTGGTTAATATCGTTTATACCCTTAATGAATAAAATATATAAATCAGTTAAAAATAAAAAACGAATTTAATACTTATTTGATTAGATAAATAATTTAAATTAATAATAATGATAAGAATTATCCATAATCTAAATATATATTTAAAAATAAAATAAAAAAAGATAGTTCTTATATATATTGTGTTGTTATCCAAAAAATATATTTTTGATAAAAAAAATTCAAAAATAGAAAACACATAAATAAATATTCAGAAAGTAAAATGTTTAATTGTATATAATTCAAAAGAGAAATTGAAAAAAGTAGAATATGTAATTATTTTCAAATTAAAATGATATAATGACATATATTCGTGAAGTTATTTTTCGCTTCTGAACTCACACGTTAAATTAAATTTATGTTTATATTTTATATAGTTAAACCTTAAACATGAATTAATCATATAAAATAAAAGATCATTCAAAAAGAAAGAAAATACGTGTTTGACAAAAATAAATTCAAATATATTGTATTATTATCCAAACTAATTTTATTCTTTATGTAAGATCAATTTTTGAATGTATATTTATTGATTCAATTTTTCAAATTGAAAGATAGATTTCTATAT